CTGATGAGGTGGTATGCTTAGGATCATGAGCAGTTCCTTTCCTTCTCCATACTCTTCTCTTCCCATCACTCTGGTACAAGTTGATCTTGGTCTCATCTGTCCATAGGATGTTGTTCCAGAACTGTGAAGGCTTTTTTAGATGTCGTTTGGCAAACTCTAATCTGGCCTTCCTGTTTTTGGTGGTAATGTCATGGCGTGGCAGAGCATCACCAGGGATGAAACCCAGCGTCTGGTGATGTCTATGCGTTCCAGACTTCAGGCTGTAATTGACTGCAAAGGATTTGCAACCAAGTATTAAAAAAGTGAAAGTTTGATTTATGATTATTATTCTGTCCCATTACTTTTGGTACCTTAACAAGTGGGAGGCACATATGCAAACTGTTGTAATTCCTACACCGTTCACCTGATTTGGATGTAAATACCCTCAAATTAAAGCTGACAGTCTGCAGTTAAAGCACATCTTGTTCGTTTCATTTGAATATGTCCCAATATTTATGGACCTGACTGTATATATATATATATATATCATGTAAAGATAGCTGATACAGATGCAATTGCAGGTAAGGCAGCATATAAAGCTTATTTATAACCAATCCAAAATGAAGAGCAATAATCAAAAACCAGGGACGGGCAGATGTCAGGCGATCAACAAACAGAATGTCAGAGAGAACAAAGTTAAGGTCTAACCGGAAAAGATCAAGCAGATCTTTGTCTTTACTTTGCAAAGTTCTTATGAATGAGAGTCTCTTAAATACAGTGGCTGTGAGTGTGTGTGTAAAATCGCATGCAGGCGTACACGATCAAAAGTCCGGTGACTAAGAGTGGTTGTAGTGTGTGTGTTGTGGGAAATGGAGTCCAGGGCGGCCATGTTTGGAGGCTGTGGTGCATGTTGTGAACTGGAGTCCCTAGACTGGGTTGAACTGACAATATACAACAGTACCCATATTACGCGTGGATAATATATAGTGTATATACAGGATAGGATATATACTATGAATTCACAATTATATAGAGATAATAGAGAATATACAGTATAGAATAGAACTGCAGGACGATTACAGACAGTAAAACAGACAGTAAAAGTGGCCTAATGGTGTAGTGGAGAGTTCAGCAGGGTAGTGGCTGTTGGGAAGAAGCTGGCCCTGAGCCTGAGCTGGTTCTGGTGTGAATATTCCTGTATCTCCAGTGTTAAATGGAGTTGTTAAAGTTGTACAAAGACAGAGTTGAAATGTAAAGGTAATGCCAATGAACAGCATCCTTATATACGTTCTGTTGTTGTTGTTGTTGTCAGATGGGTGAGGGCTGAATGAAGAGCAGTGGAAAAGGCATCCTCTGTCGACCGTGTCGGGGTGGTAGGCAAACTGGTGGGAGTTTAATGTAGGTGGTAGGCCTGCTGTGAGGTGACTCAGAACCAGTTGCTCATAGCATTTCATGACGGTGTAGGTGAATGTAGCAGGGCAGAAGTCATTCAAGCATGCTGCAGTCATTCAAGCATGCTGTTTGTTTATTGTTAATCTGCTGTCCTGTCTCACTGCGCACTGACACCGTCACCACGAGCATCGCTATACTCTTTCCCTGTCTGTCACTGTAATCATCATGACCAACTATTGTTCTGATTTGTGAAGACCAAATTTGTAAGGGAATTTTTCATCTTTTTAACCTCTTCATCCCTACGTTTTTTATGGTTTTGCTTTTGGGCACCCGAAAAGTGCCTCTTTCCATCCATCATGTTCTTCTTCACGTCGTTCACGTCATGCAGGCTGTATTTTTATGTGGCGGGAGACCAAGTTCACTTTCACTTATCACTTTCTTTAATTTACAGATTTTAATTTTATTTTACTACACTAATGTTTAAAATGTGTTCGTGTATATATGATTTGAAAAAAATTTAAAATGTAAAAAAAACAATTAAAAAATAATTCCGAGGTGGTGATTTGAGGCCCCCTTGTGTCCTGGTGGGCCCATATGCCTGGCATACTCTGCATCCCCCATAACGGCGCCTCTGAGTAGCACTAGAGTCCTTACTACAGAGTGTCCCAAAAGTCTCCATACATAGGGAAAATTAACATGTTTTAGCAAAATGTCGAAAAAAAGTTCATACTTACTTAATATTAAATATTTTTTAAGATAACCTTTTAAGAATGCCTTTGACAAAAGAAAAACATATTGAAATCATTCTCATGGCTGGATCAGGAAGCAGTCACAAGGTTGCAATGGACTAAAAAAAACTGGAAGTGTTCAGGACCAACTGTGAAGTGGTCCACAAACATCCACTGACGAAGGCTGGCACCACCAATGTGGTGTAGGCATAGATCTGTTTTTGACCTATGGTTTGACAAACCGCCCCCTCTTCGACGCCCTTCCTGATGCAACCCTCCCCATTTTCTGGGCTTGGGACTGCCACTTAGAGTGCCCTGGTTTGTGCAACCCTCCAGGTTGGTTCCCTGACCTGGAATCGAACCCAGGCCATGGCGAGGACATCGTCACATGCTAGCAACTAATCCACCAGGGAACTGAGCCAAATTACACTGGCTACCAGTTAAATATTGTATTGATTACATATGCTGCTAGGAACAGCACAGTGCATACAACCTGGTGGATATCCGGGAGGGGGTTGAGTGGGAGACGGTGTTTAGCACCACCTCTGGCCACTACAAGTACTGCATGATGCCATATGGGCTCTCTTGCACCCTCTAAGTCTTCCAGTGTTTCATAAAAAACGTCCTGAAGGACATGCTAGGGAAATACTTAATTGTTTATATTGATGATATCCTGATCTACCTCACGCAGCACCAGTTGTATATCAAGGATGAAAAGTGTGAGTTCCATCTGCACACAATCTCATTCCTGGGCTATATCATCAGCCCAGACAGGGTCACCATGGACCAGGCAAAGGTGGCAGCGATCACCAACTGGCCTACACCCAAAATGTAGGATTTGCAGGACCTGCAGCGATTCCTTGGCTTTGCTAACTTTTACTGGCGATTCAGCTCCATAGTTAATCCCCTGACTTTACTCCGGAAGGGGACAAAGCCCCTGGCCTGGAACCCAGCAGCCCTCAGAGGGCCTTCAACCAGCTAAAAGCTGCATTTACCACAGCTCCTATCAGTAAACACCCTGATCCATCAAGACCCTTCATTGTGGAGGTGGATGCTTCTGAGATGGGGGTTGGAGCTCTCCTGTCCCAGCAGTTTGAGGAAAAGCTTAAACTACATCCCATGGCTGTCTTTTCCAAGATGTTATCCCCAGCCAAGCAGAATTACGATATAGGGAACTGGAAGCTACTGGCCGTGAAACTAACCCTTGAAGAGTGGTGCCCCTGGCTGGAGGGGGCTGCTCACCCATTCACTATATTTACTGACCACAAAAACCTTGAGTACCTCTTTGCCCTTAACCTCCTGCCTTTCCCAATTCTTTTCCCAGTTTCAGTTCACCATTTCCTTTAGGCCTGGCTCCAAGAATAGCAAGATGGACACTTTGTTTCCCATGTATACATCCGGCCCAGGATAGGTCTGTTCACACATCTGATAGACCAAGCATTTGTTTCATGTTTGATTATCCTGGTTTTGACCCTCATTTGTTTCCTTGCTCTATGATCTTAGACTTGTCCTCTGATTACCTGTCTGTACATCGACTGACTCTTTGCATGGCAGCAGGAACAGGTGATAGCAGCTCAAGGCCGTCTAGCTGGGGAGCAACAACACTAGATAGCTCTTTTCAACACCAAGGTCACATAGCTGTCCCCTACAACAACAGCACCTAGCACCAAGATGGCTGCACCCTATCCCTCTGCTCCCCCTCTCATCACTTGCCTTGAGCAGTATACAGGTAACCCCCTCAGTGTCAGGGGTTCCTACTCCAATGTTCTCTGTACTTCCATCTCCCTTTTGATCACAGTCACATCCAAGTATCCCATCATCCTCGGCTTCACACGGATGCAAAATCACAACCCTCACATTTCCTGAACAGAGAGAGAGCGTATTAGCTGGCCATCACAATGCCACGAATCCTGCCTCTGAGTGCCAACAGTGCTCACAGCATCCACCTCCATTGAAAGCCCTGAAACCTCAGAAAAATTTAAGGTCCCTATGGAGTACCAAGAGTATCAAGAACTGTTCAGCAAAGCTAAAGCCAATGGCCTACTACCTCATTGTCGATATGACTGTGCCATAGAACTCATGCCCAGGAATAACAGCTGTAGCTCTCAGCTACAGAGAACCAAGCCATGCAGGAGTACATTTCTGAACCATTAGCTCAGGGATACATTCAACCCTCCACATCCCCAGTGTCAACCGGTTTCTTCTTTGTGGAAAATAAGGGAGGAGGACCATGCATTGACTACTGTGGTCTGAACCAGATCACCATCAATTGTCACTATCCCCTACCTCTAATCCCTGTTGCCCTAGAACAGCCAATATTAACATTAAAACCACTTGCCTAATACTGTGTAGGTCCCCCTTGTGCTCCCAAAACAGCTCTGACCCATCAAGGCATGGACTCCACAAGTCCTCTGAAGGTGTGCTGTTGTATCTGGCACCAAGACATTAGCAGCAGTTCCTTTAAGTCCTGTATTTGTGAGGTGGGGCCTCCATGGATTGGACTTTTTATCCAGCACATCCCACAAATGCTTGATTGGATTGAGATCTGTGGAATTTGGAAGCCAAGTCAGCACTTTGAACTCTTTGTCATGTTCCTCAAGACATTCCTGAACAATTTTTGCAGTCTGGCAGGGCGCATTATCCTGCTGACAGATGGCACTGCCATTAGGGAATACCGTTGCCATGAAGGGGTGTACTTGGTCTGCAACAATGTCCTGGCATTCATGTGGATGTTACTTTGACACGTACCACCTAGGTAGGTTTCCCAGCAGAACATTGCCCAGAACATCACACTGCCTCTGCTGGCTTGCCTTCTTCCCATAGTGCATAGGTCCCATCTCTTTCCCAGGTAAGTCACACACAGACCCGACCATCCACATGATGTAAAAGAAAACATGATTCATAAGATCAGGCCACTTTCCTCCATTTCTCCATGGTCCAGTTCTGATACTCATGTGGCCTTTCAGCAGTGAACAGGGGTCAGCACGGGCACTCTGACCAGTCTGGTGTGTGTTCTGATACCTTTCAATCAGAGCCAGCATTAAATTTTTCAGCAATTTGTGCTACAGTAGCTCTGTGGGATTGGACCACACAGGCTAACCTTCACTCCCCACACACATCAATGAGTCTTGGGCACAATTTGGCCCTTGTCAAAGTCGTTCAGATCCTTACGTTTGCCTACTTTTCCTGCTTCCAACATATGAACTTCAAGAATATATGCTGCAACTAGGAAAAAAAAGAAAAAAACAGCATGAAACTCCCACTGAGGTGGGCTGGACATTTATTTGTGGTGTTTTAGAAAATGAAAAGTGAGTAAAAAATATAAAATATTAATTTATTTACAAAAAGAAAGTGGAAAAGACAGCATGAGGGCTGAATGTTTAGAATTTCAGCTTTTATTTCCTGGTATTTATATGTAGACGTGTTAAATAGCACATTTGTATCAGATCACCCAATTTGTAGGTGAAATATATAAAATATTGGAACATGTGACTGTTATTCACATCACCTATCAGTAGTTTTAATGTTATGGCTGATCAGTGTGAATATATACAAAGTATTTGTGTGTGTAAGTATGAATATGTATATGTAACGCTTCGGAGGCCCTGTCAGGCAAAAGCGCACCCACATTTACAGGCTTTTATAGTGCAGGTCTCCCATGCAGGCAATCAGCATAAACGTGCCTCACCTGGCTGTGCCCCTTCATAAGGCCTCCTGTTGCCTCACTCCACGTGCGGACATAGATCTGCGCCAGGTACAGAGAGGCATCACAGTAATCTGGTTGGTCGTTTCAGGAAAGCAATATTTAGAGAAGGGTTATTGAGGTTCAGGATTTATAGAAGAGTTATTGAGTCTCACAATTTAGAGAAGATTTATTGAGGTTCAGAATTTAGAGATGATTTATTACTAAGGTTTAGGAAAGAGTAGATGCCTCGAGACTTAGCAAGGGGAATCTCTTGCTAATATTATTATTTGGGAATTGGTGAGAGAGAGAACCATCCCTTATTATTGGGTGTAGTGGCATAAGCACTATCGCACTCACAGTTGCTATCCCCCTAGTTGGCCCAGCACTGAGCCTCGGCTTGTCTGAGGTGCCCGTTTTGGGAGAAAATGTATGGCGGCCAGAGAGTGCTTCGAGTTTGCTCGGATCCCACACTTGGCTCCAACTCTCTCTCTATAGTTTTGCTCATTGGTCGACTCCTCAAGGTCGAGCCACATTATTGCCTCCCTGGAGACAAGACTACCGCCTCCTCAACCCTACGCAGGAGAAGCAGGTGGATGTAACTCTTTTATAAAGCAGTGCTCACTGGTGTTTGAGATGCAGCCATCCCAGTTCCCCATCACAGTACAGGCCCTTTCAGAGGAGTTAAACAATGAACTGGTGACTCGCAAAACACCACCACCCACCCCCCACCGTTCGAACAAAGCGGACCTGATGGTGACCAAGTATGACCGTGCTGCCCCAGCTTATCTCAGTAGGCCTGAACCAGAGAAGCTACCAGTAGAGCTGATGCAGTTGGAGTTGTCTCCCCTCACAGGAGAGGGAGACCTGGAGGTGTGAATTTTCGAATTGTTTTGCCGGGAGTTTCTTGCCGAGCGGAGGCCATCCACACCGTCTACAATATCAACAAATCTCCGACTAAATCTTGTCTTCACCTTCGGGACCATCAATTCCCAGAACGCCAAACTTTTTTCCACCACTAATACGGTACGTGAGTATGTCTAGCCAGCTTATTCAGTGCGCTGAGTGCGCTATGTTTA